CCGCTGTGTGCTCCCAGCAAGCTGCCTCTTCACCTCCGCCATGGCGGGGTCTGAGTTCTGCGCCGAACACATGAAATCAGAAGGCCACATGGACTGAACGTGGCGAGCTGCGACGGGAGGCGACTGAAAATCCATTGTGTCTGTCTGTGTAGACACCTCCTGCGTCGGGTCCGGCCTCCGACTGAGCGCATCCGGAGCCTCATGTAGCCTACCTGGCCGATGAACAATCTCAAACTGAAACTCGCCCAAAATCTCCAGCCACCGCGCCAGAAGCCCGTCAGGGTTTCTGAAATTCACAAGCCACTGCAGAGCGGCATGGTCTGTGCGGAGCGTGAACTTACGACCCAAAAGGTAATGTCGGAACTGCTGCACAAACGTCACAGCTGCGAGTAGCTCCTTTTTAGTGACTGAATATTGCCGCTGGGATTTAGACAGGCTTTTACTGTCAAATGCCACTGCCCGCTCACCCTGTCCATCCCTCTGCAGCAGAACCGCGCCCATCTTTGACCCTGAACAATCCACGTCTAGTACGAATTCGCTCGCTCCCGGGGAAAAGTCAGGGTATTTCAGAACCGGAGCCGTGCACAGCGCCGCCTTTAGCGAGTCAAAAGCCATCTGAGCCTCCGCATCCCAATGGAAGTCTACGTCTTTCCTGGTGAGGTGATGCAGCGGAGCCGCGATAGCAGCAAAATCTTTGATGTACCGTTTAAAGTACGTTGCCAATCCCAAGAACTGTGACAATGCCTTCTCATTCATAGGCACCGGCCAATCCTTTACTTTGTCTACCTTTTCTGGATCGGGACTGACCCCATCAGACGACACCACGTGACCCAGGTAAGTGATCTCTGATTGAAAGAATTTGCACTTTGAGAGGTTGAGAGTCAAATTCGCAGCCGACAGACGACGGAACACCTTCTCAAGACGTGAAAGATGCGTGTCAAAATCGCCAGAGAAAACCAAAATGTCATCAAAGTAGCTCACTGCATCAGTGGGAGCCAAATCACCCAACACAAGACTCAACAGTCTGGCGAACGAACTCGGGGCACCACTGAGGCCATATGGGCACGTTGTGTATTGCCAAAGCCCAAACGGCAACGTGATGGACGTTTTGGATCGATCCTCCTTTCGGATGCTCATCTGGTTGTACCCGCTTTTTAGATCGAGCACCGAAAACAAAGAGTTACCTCCCAGACTGTCAAGTAGGACATCAACCCTTGGGATTGGAAAGGCTGGCACCTGGCACACGCGGTTAAGTTTTCGAAAATCCCCACAAATTCGCACAGAACCGTCTCTTTTCTTCACCAGGACTACCGGTGATGACCAAGTGCCATCAGACGGCTCCAGCACCCCCTGATCTACCATATCCTGCACGCGCTGCTTTACTTCTGTCTCCAGGTGTGGGGGAATTCGTCTGGGAGCTGATCGCACCGGCTTGGCAGTGCCCGTGTCGATTACGTGCTCAACTAGTGAGCAGTGACCAAGCTGGTCTGAGAACAACGAGGGGTACCGGCGCAACAGAGCAAAGAACTTTTCCCGCTGCTGACTCGTTAGCGACACATCAGACAGATCGACCAAATCCTCCAAGGAACCCGCGCCAGAGCTGGGACCATTTGACACCCCATTGTCTGCATCATTCCCCTCCCCTTCAATGGAGAAGTCGGCTTCCATTGATCCTAGGCCCTTGCCCTTAGACACCGAGACCGAGGACGACGTCACGTTACGCACCACGACCGGAACACTGCCGCCCGGCTTCACATCAACCAGTCCGTCCAGGAACGTCAACCCACTGACTGCGACGTCGGCAATGAACACAGCCTCTCCCTCAAAATCAGCATCATCGACATGGCCGGGGATCACAACCTCACAGTTTGGGGGAATAGCGTACGTTTCCTGTACAGACACCCTGCACACACGAGTCGTCGGTCGCTCAGGCAACACCGTGGCGACCGGCTGACGGTTCACCTGGTTTGCAGGTGTTAGCTGCTTCGTCGATAAGTTAAGAACAAACGGGTACTGCGCGAAAAAATCCATGCCCAGGAGGCAGTCGATGGGACCGATTTCGTCGGATACAAACACAGAGAGCGGGTATGACACATTATCGATAACAAAATGCACTGCACACCGACCGAGCAGGCGCAACGGCTGTTGAGTTGCAGTTTTAGCGGTGACGTCACAACGTTGTAGCTGGGGACGCGCTGAAATCTGATCATAAATCCGTCTGTGAACTATTGTTATAGCACTTCCTGTATCCACAACAAGCTGCGCTGGCACCTCACTAACCTTTGCCTTGACCGTAATGTCCGACGCCGATGCAGCGCAGTTATTCAAAACTCTCGGTCCCGGCGGCCGAGTGACCGGGGAGCGCGCGCGCCGCCCTGAGCGCCCTCCCCTCCGGCGTTTCCCGAGAGGCGGCACGTGCGCTGAACATGGCCCACCTTCCCACAGGTAAAGCACCTGGCTAGACGGAAACGACAATCTGGTTTCCCGTGACCCGTCTCCCCACAACACAGACATATGGGCATTGACACGTCACACTCCTGTCGTCCCCGGGCCCGGTCATGCCTCATCTGTCCCATCCGGTTAGTAGCAGCCAGCTGCAACTCCAGCTGCGCAATGCGGCGCAGAATTTGCTCCAGCACTGATGGTTCTGCAGCCTCGCCTCCCACTTTACGCACCCCCGGTCGCTCTGAGTCCGATCCGGCCGGCCCAGCCTCCGCCTGGTCGAGGGCGGGCTCGGACCGGGCGCCATCGCCGCCCACTGCACACACGCGCTGTCCCTGGCCCACCGGTCCCCGAGACAGACGATCAGCAGCCAGCACGTTTTGCACACTTTTTACGGCTGCATCAAAGGTCACAGATCCCAAAGACACCACTGCATGAGCCAACCGCTGAGGCAAGGCGGCCAGGAAATAGTGATAGAGATGCGTATCAGGCGAGTGGGCGCCAAACACGGCAGTGACCAGGCCGCGCAGCTGAACAATGAAGGTGTCCAGTGACTGAGCCGTCGGGTCGAATTTGAGCGCCTGCAGCGCGCTGTGGCAGTCCAAGGCGCTAGCGTCCGGGAACACGGCTCCGAGACGGTCTAGCAGAGTGTCGATTGAGCCGTCAGCAGGACGCTCAAACGTGTCGAACGCCTCTCGGGCCGCTCCATCCAGACACAGCGGCAAACAGTTCAGAGTCGCCTCACCCGTGAACGACTGCACGGCACAAAAACTCTTAAAATCCTCTCGGAAACGACGAAATGACCCCCGACCGTCATACCTGGGTGGCGCGAAGTGAGCCATTTCCTCTTGAGATAATCACGACGTCGTCGTAAATCACTGCGTATCACTTGGGGCGTGAAAAAAATCAAATGTTTATATAACAGCTCGCAGCTGATCGGTTCCGTGTCAAACAATTTATCAGGCCAAGACTGTGTTAGGCCAACACAACCCGGTTCGCAACCACAACCACCGCTGCCACCAATGTAAGACACCTCAGTCTTCAGATACAGCCTCCGGTCTTACTGCATGTCTCTGTATTCCTGTGTTCTCAGCTTGACCGAACACACAACACACAACCAGCCGCGCCTCCGGCCGCGCTCCACACACACGCCCTCTGCCCAGCGCTCTGCTCTGCTCTGCTCGCGCGCCGACGCGCGACCGCTTCCCGCCACAGCCGGGAACACGATTTAGCCGTGCATCCTTCACGGCTCTCGGCCACTAAATAATATTATACCTACTTACACTTATCAAATACCGATGACGATGCTGTTTTCTGGTGCCAAGCCAGCTAGAACCTCTTTGTCACACTATCCGACCAGAATTTTGCTGCTGAGGTCATTTCAGGTCAAGTTAGGTCAAGGTCAATTATATGTGTTTGTATGTCTGTGTGTGTCTGTGTGTATACTGAAGTGTGCACCGATTGTTTTTGGGTCCATATCACATGAAATCATGATCTGAGAAGCTTTTACCAAAAATGCAGTAAAAAAACTTCACAAAAAGTAAATTCAGCTTGCCTAAAACGCAATTATCTTAGATGACCTAGGTTGACCTTGACCCTGACCTTGACCCCTGTACATCGTCGAACAACATGTTCCATGATAGGTGGGAGGTAAGACTGGCAAAAAAGGCCGAAATCAGGGTGTCAAAAGCTCACAAGGCCCATGGCAAACGCAAGATGTTGAGAATTGGCCATTTGGGTCATGACATGACCTGAAAAACAAGGTCATATCTCCGAAACCAAAAATCACAGAAACTTGAAATTTTCAGTGGACATCAAGAAAGGATAGACGAGCAGCTATACGAAAAATCAGCCGTCTAGCTCTAAAAATGTTGAGTGCAGAGCAGAAAGACTGCCTGGGGGGGGGGGGGTGGCAACCACCCCCCCCCATGTGCGGGCGAGGGCTAGGGGCCAAAGTATAATATGTGGCGAAAAACAGACTTCACCATTGGAATCAGCGTCCAAAACTGTACCCATGGACCAGTTTTTATGAAAATCTAAGGGGGTCCGAATGTGATTCTGAAAGTGAATCTGAATGCCTCTAGGGGCAAAGTATAATATGTGGCGAAAAACAGACTTCACCATGGGAATCAGCGTCCAAAACTGTACCCACGGACCAGTTTTTATGAAAATCTAAGGGGGTCCCCCTTCCCCAAAAACTTTGAATGCCTCTAGGGGCCAAAGTATAATATGTGGCGAAAAACAGACTTCACCATTGGAATCAGCGTCCAAAACTGTACCCATGGACCAGTTTTTATGAAAATCTAAGGGGGTCCCCCTTCGCCCAAAAAAACTTTGAATGCCTCTAGGGGCTAAAGTATAATATGTGGCGAAAAACAGACTTCACCATTGGAATCAGCGTCCAAAACTGTAGGGTAACTGTGGGGAAAACGCACCCCTGGGTTAAAGGCCTCCCCTAAAAAAAATCGTATTTCTAATCGACGGATAGGTGTTTTATCCTGTCTTTCAGAACAGTCAGCTGCTTGTTTACGTAGGTCTCTATTTCCGGTTCTGCGTCTTGAGGAGCAGCGTGGGTAGGTGCTGATGTTGGTTTTGGGTGTTGTTTTTGTTGTTTTTACAGAAGATTCCTAAGATTTTGATGCCCTCTTTATATCACAAAACTTGCTATTGTGCACATCACTAAAAACTGCGTTTTATTGCCATTCCGTTGAATTTATTATGCTGCGGCGTTAGTGGCGCGTTTTTTGTCAATATTTTGTTGACCGGAAATGGAGTGGATGGGGAAAGACGCCTACTCGATGCATGGGGCAAGACGCCCCCAGTTTTCTGAAAGGGGGGCGTTTTGCACGGTGGTGAGAGTGCAGGGTAGCGCCCTGTAGGTGGGTGCCGAAAAGGCCTCTCCCTGTCCTTTTTTGCTGATATATCCTAAAGGACTGCAGATATCGTCACCAAACTTTCAGGACTCCTCCGGGCATCCATTTTACACATTGCAACACAATTTTATTCCAAAGGCTATGATAGGTTGACCACAAATGACGTCAGAATGACGTCAAGTTCTGCCATGTTTATCATTTTCTGTTGATGGATGGGGTGGGGGCGCTTTGCACATGGGTGTGGGCGTATTACCCAGGGTATGGGGCAAAACGCCCTTTTGTAAGGGTATGCGAAAACCTTTTTGGGGGGTTAAATACCACACGCAGGTGTCTTTTCTTGGTCTCAAAGCGTAGTAAAAAGAATGAGCTACATGATGGTGCCCAAAGGTTTGAGTAATCTGTGTTGGGTTGAGTGTCAGAAGGTTTCGCGCTTAATGGGGGCGTTTTTGACCTATTCACCCTACCCATGGACCAGTTTTTATGAAAATCTAAGGGGGTCCCCCTTCGCCCAAAAAAAAACTTTGAATGCCTCTAGGGGCCAAAGTATAATATGTGGCGAAAAACAGACTTCACCATTGGAATCAGCGTCCAAAACTGTACCCATGGACCAGTTTTTATGAAAATCTAAGGGGGTCCCCCTTCGCCCAAAAAAAAACTTTGAATGCCTCTAGGGGCCAAAGTATAATATGTGGCGAAAAACAGACTTCACCATTGGAATCAGCGTCCAAAACTGTACCCATGGACCAGTTTTTATGAAAATCTAAGGGGGTCCCCCTTCCCCAAAAAACTTTGAATGCCTCTAGGGGCCAAAGTATAATATGTGGCGAAAAACAGACTTCACCGTTGGAATCAGCGTCCAAAACTGTACCCATGGACCAGTTTTAATGAAAATCTAAGGGGGTCCCCCTTCGCCCCAAAAAAACTTTGAATGCCTCTAGGGGCCAAAGTATAATATGTGGCGAAAAACAGACTTCACCGTTGGAATCAGCGTCCAAAACTGTACACATGGACCAGTTTTTATGAAAATCTAAGGGGGTCCCCCTTCGCCCCAAAAAAACTTTGAATGCCTCTAGGGGCCAAAGTATAATATGTGGCGAAAAACAGACTTCACCATTGGAATCAGCGTCCAAAACTGTACCCGTGGACCAGTTTTTATGAAAATCTAAGGGGGTCCGAATGTGATTCTGAAAGTGAATCTGAATGCCTCTAGGGGCAAAGTATAATATGTGGCGAAAAACAGACTTCACCATGGGAATCAGCGTCCAAAACTGTACACATCGACAAGTTTTTATGAAAATCTAAGGGGGTCCCCCTTCCCCAAAAAACTTTGAATGCCTCTAGGGGCCAAAGTATAATATGTGGCGAAAAACAGACTTCACCATTGGAATCAGCGTCCAAAACTGTACCCATGGACTAGTTTTTATGAAAATCTAAGGGGGTCCCCCTTCGCCCCAAAAAAACTTTGAATGCCTCTAGGGGCCAAAGTATATTATGTGGCGAAAAACAAACTTCACCATTGGAATCAGCGTCCAAAACTGTACCCATGGACCAGTTTTTATGAAAATCTAAGGGGGTCCCCCTTCGCCCAAAAAACTTTGAATGCCTCTAGGGGCCAAAGTATAATATGTGGCGAAAAACAGACTTCACCGTTGGAATCAGCGTCCAAAACTGTACACATGGACCAGTTTTTATGAAAATCTAAGGGGGTCCCCCTTCGCCCCCAAAAAAACTTTGAATGCCTCTAGGGGCCAAAGTATAATATGTGGCGAAAAACAGACTTCACCATTGGAATCAGCGTCCAAAACTGTACCCATGGACCAGTTTTTATGAAAATCTAAGGGGGTCCCCCTTCGCCCAAAAAAACTTTGAATGCCTCTAGGGGCCAAAGTATAATATGTGGCGAAAAACAGACTTCACCGTTGGAATCAGCGTCCAAAACTGTACCCATGGACCAGTTTTTATGAAAATCTAAGGGGGTCCCCCTTCCCCCAAAAAACTTTGAATGCCTCTAGGGGCCAAAGTATAATATGTGGCGAAAAACAGACTTCACCGTTGGAATCAGCGTCCAAAACTGTACACATGGACCAGTTTTTATGAAAATCTAAGGGGGTCCCCCTTCGCCCCAAAAAAACTTTGAATGCCTCTAGGGGCCAAAGTATAATATGTGGCGAAAAACAGACTTCACCATTGGAATCAGCGTCCAAAACTGTACCCATGGACCAGTTTTTATGAAAATCTAAGGGGGTCCGAATGTGATTCTGAAAGTGAATCTGAATCTGAGGCTGTCTTGACAGACGTGCGCGAAACAGTATGCCCGCAAAGATTAAATCCGGCTAGGTACCTACCTATGCCGATTTAAATTCAATAATTACGGTGTTGTTACCAATACGATCATACAACAAGGCCTGAAACCCCTAAGAAATAAGCTGTTGGATTAGCAACACCTATCGCATTTATTTCTTTAAATAAAGGGGCTCAACTCGTCGCAACCTGATGAAAAGACCTTCGGTAACATGGGCTATTGGGGACACTATTTCAACACAGATGCAGCATTAATGCGGTTTAGTTTAGCTGTTAGTTTTGCGGCGCTACTCGCGTACTTTTTCCAACACGGTAAAACTGGAGCGTGATCAAAAAGTAGAGACCCTACCCTGCATCGGGTCGAAGGAAGACGGGGCTGGTGACCTGACCTGAAATGACCTGGGGGTTAAAATTGTGTGCAAAGCGATAACAAAAATTGATGCATTGCAGGTTGTATAAGGTTTCCCCGTGCCTACACATACACAAAATAGGTAGTGTGACCCGCCCATTTCGTCCACCACAGCGCAAGTAACCAAGCATCGTACATACCTCATCGAGACGCGAACAAGCGAGAGAAAGCGACATCTGGCCCCTGAGTACGAGAGCTGCCGACTCTAGTTCCTGAAGCTACCGTCAGATGTCGGGGTGTGTCCGTTTGGCCGGAGGTCGCGGGCGGGCGGGAGTCGGTGGCCCTCGCCCGCCCTCGTCCAGACTCAACGCCGCGCGGCAGTAATCGGTGAGCGTTGTGAGGGGAGGGGGTGCGCAGACCTCGCGCTACAGCCGGCAGCCCTCGCCGGCGTCGGAGCGTCGCATGGTACCCCTCTGACGGATACAGCCCCAGGTGAGTTCCCTCGCGGGGCAGTCGAGGGACAGGGGAGCTGGAACGGCGCCCCGAACTGCGTGGGTGATGGGAAGGCGCCGCGTGCTCACAGGTGGGGTGGGTGGAGACTGGCGTAAGGTGCGGGTGCAGGGGGTCACTTGGGTGACTCGGACTAGCAACCTTATTCGTGTAATATTCAATCTAGCCCACATACGCCAAAGAAAGCTATAATCATGCAGTACCTAAACTGCGATATAAATAATAAAACGTGTATTTCGGTGACATCGAAACGGCTAGTCAGTTTTGTCACAAATCGCTCACGTGTCTCCAGTTGGGACGCTGCTCGGAGTATTACCAGCACGGATCAGGATCAGAATGTTGTATTCCTACCAATGCTGCCATGAACGGTGCTCCGTCAACTGCTGCGTGAGGTGGGCTGTTTTTCTGCTCACACGGCCGATGTCCAAGGTCGGGTGGGCTTAGGAAGGAGCGCGTATTGTCTGCAAATGGCTCCGTCTGTGGAGTCGGGTGATCCGTGGTGTGCTCTGGACAGCTGGGGACTTATGTACTGCTCCGCTGCCGCTGTTCCGGATCTTCCACCCTGCGACCATTGAGGCCTGGGAGATTGAGAACCCGTCCCACACCTGGAGCATTCGCACGCACTTCCGGCCATCTTGACTTGGGGGTTATATCATCGTCTTTAGGTTTCATAAACTCTGACTAGAACTAAATGAATAGAGCTTTCATGTTGATTTTTTTTAGTGTTAAGTCGCTCATGTATTGTTTGTTTTATGTATGCACATCTAAATAGAATACCTATACCGTGTCATTTCCCGGCGATTTTCGTTAACACTTTACCCACGTGGTTCCTCGCCTGAACGGGATTCGAGCGTGACCCAGAAACTCGAATTTAAGCCCCTCATCAAATCCGTTCAGCCGTTTCTGGAATATGACCTTCAGACCAGAGTGGAGCCACCTCTGGCTGAATCTGAGATGGCCCGCGACCCGCTGGCGTTCCGACTACCGAGACCGTTCCCCGACCAACTAGTCCTAGTTGGTCGTCCTAGGGTGATAGCTAGCTCCTGAGCTAGCTATCACCCTCCCCCTCCGCCGCCACGGGGAACCGTGTCCTCCCCGACCAACCGCTACTCGGGCACGGCCCTCCCCTCCGCCGAGGGGGGGGGGGGAGGCAGTATCCGAGGCACGCCCCTGTCCGTGCTGGATAAGGCATTGGTGCGGCCGTTAGACCAAACAGACGTCGTCTCCCGCCGCGCCGACCGGTGCCGCCAGCGACCCTATTTGGAGTGGTCCGGCGACTGGAGAGGTGACTTATGACGCATCTGATGTGCTCTAGACTCGGCGAATAGGCTGAGCTTTGTGCTTTAATCTCGTTCGTCTGTGTCGATTGGCGGTTAAAAGGGCTTTCGGCGGTTCGATTCAGTGCTAAAGATGCTTGGAATGATGGCTGTTACCGTTGAATGTTTGCCGTGGTAAATCAACCAGCTGACCACCGACGTAGACTTGATGCTGAGGTCAGCGGGGCGGGCTGGGTCACTGAAAGCTGAAACCCAAAGCGACGAATAATTTACCATGTCACTGCTAGTCTATCGCCGATGTCGACCTCAGATCATATTGTCAGTCACGCGCGTACTTAGCCGGACCCTCGAGCCCCGTGCTCAGAAGTCAGACTTAAAGATGGATCGGTTCCTCTGGAGAACAACGCCCATGAATAAGGCATAGTTAGTTAGTTGTTTAGTTAGCCCTTTGACCACTATAAGCCCCACTGCTGAGTACCGGCATAGTGTAATAAATAACACTATGGTTATTATACTATGGCTATTATACTACCGGTCATCACATGATTGTGGGAACCGTTTCAACCTTTTGGTCGTTGGAACCTTTTGTACCAACTCCGACCTTTTGGCTCGCTTATTTCGTCTGTGGCCCATGCCATCTTATCATTTCGTCTTTGTCGTCGTCACCGTCTTACCTCCCATTTTCTCAATCTTACCTTTTGTCACCCATTTCACCTTCAATCGCACATCTCGCCGTCTGTCACATCTCGCCTTTCATCACACATCTCGCTCACATGATCTCACCTGCGCTCAGCGCGGCGCCTAACGGAAGTGAAAGTGCCGCAGGGTGGGCGAGTGCGTGCCCCGCGCGCGTCCACTGCTGCCACCCCGGCCGGCTGACCGCCCTCTGGTTCCGCTCGCTTCAGAATCTCAGATTTATGTCTGTTGGGTGGGCGTCGCAGCCAACATCGATCAGCGATGAAAGGAAGACCGAGACAGGAGTGATTCGACGCTCTTTTATGACCATAGTGACGTTTTAGGTTTTCTTTTCCTTTCTGGGCGGCAGGAGACTACCATTGCTCATTATCATTGGCGACGCCTACTTTTAAGTCTGAGCTGTCCTGCCCCTGAATCATGCTATTTTATGCGAAACCACATCAAGCTGAAAGCCAACTTGGACTATGATCTGTTACTTTTTATTACCATAATTTTGGTAACCGACCGTACAAAAATAATCAATGGCATGAGTCGCCTGTGACCTTTGACCATTTGCAAAATCTCGTGTTAGGTCTTTTCCCCTAAAGGCTTTCCAGCATGGACCTCCGCTTGTTTTGCTGTCAGTCTGTTTTATTTTAATTCGACACTGCCTCGGCGTGCCGAAAGACATTGCAGCCAGTCCTCCACCGACCGAGCCACACCGGCTGCCGCGGAGGGCACGGGAGCCGCGGTGGCCGCCGCCCGGGGGCTCATGACGTCACCAGCCGACCGGCCGTGTCGGCGGGCTGTCTCGCCTTGTAGGGGCGGCCGGCGAGCGTCTGGACGGGACTGGGAGTCTGGGAGACCATACGGCTGAGAACAGGGACCGGAGGGCGGCTCCTGGACCTGCATTGTATTCCGACTTGGTGGTTGCTGTCTGAGATCCTGGAATTTCTCCAATGAGAGAGGTTCTGCCCGTGCCAGATGGATAGACGTTTAACCGCGTGATGTCATTACTGATGTCATTGGCACGTTCGGATGAAGGGGACTGCGCGGAGGGCTGTGACAAAGCCTGTGATAGAGACTGATCTGCATAAGCTCATTGGCTTGCTGACGGTGACGGAGGGAATTGGAATGCAACTCAGCACGGGTTGAGCATGGAATGGTCCGTGGAATTGTGATGCAATACAGCCCTTTACACATTGTATAAGCAGAATAATATGTAATGTGCATCGTCAATAGGTACCGGTCAACCTTGAATTAACTATATTTTTTAAGCGTCCTGGATGTTACTTTCCAGCGCCGCAGTTACATATAATAGGCAACCTAAAAGGATAACGGAACGGCTTATATTTCGCATAGAACTATGATAAGTTATCGGCTTGTGTCAGTTTTAGTTGTAGGTACTCGTCAGCCGTCGATGGCAAGCGGCTTTATGCTTTGATGCTTCACACGTCTCCGTCCTTGCATCACTTCACGCCCCGGCTATTTGCTTTTGTCGCTGGCAGGCGGCCTTTTTCGGCGCGGTCCGTTTGTCTTTACAAACCGCGTATCATGTTGGTACACCTGGGTCAAGGTCAGGCGGCTAAAACCTGTCCTGTGGTGGTCCTTATCGCGCGAGAGCGACCTCTGAATTCAGCCGCACTGGTGTGCCCGTGTTCTGTCTATATCGAGAGTGACTGCTCTGGGGTACCCTGCTGACAAGGGATGACTGTGGGCTGGACGTTTGGTGGGCATTTATTGGAAGTGCTTTAGCTGTATGAAGGAAAACCGAAATAATAGACAGCTACTTGAGCTCATCAATGCTCGTATTTTCTGCCCCAGGAGAAAACTTCGGTTTTGAGGGTGATCTTTGGGCGGGTTGATTGATTTAGTAAAGACCGACAAGGTTCTCGCTGATAACCAAAAGCGGCAGGATGGCCGCCTCCTTTGGCCTTTGGAGTCCCGTTCCAGTATGCCCTGACCGGGAAGTTTATAGGATGGATAAAAAGCGTGTTGCATGTTGAACCAGAAGCCGCTCATGTGCTTATTATAGGTTTTTGTACAGATATCAAAGGCATATTTTTGCTCGCATCAAGTCCAAATGCATTGAAACTGCGTGTTTATTGTTTGGATCCTGTATGGATTATGTACAAATTGGGCCATAAAATTCACGCGTATCATCTGGTGTGTGGCTGTCGCGTTACAGCTGGACTGTGAAGTACGTACGTATAAATGGCCGCTCGGCGGTCACTTTCCGCAGTGCTGTGATTACGTGAATGGTTATTTACAGGAAAAGATGACAGTTGTGCGGCGCTTACCTCGTATTGAATGTGAACGCTGCCCGTTCAAAGTGTCTGCTGTAAAATCACTAAAATGCATCGAAATAGTCCACTGCAAGGTATTCACTTGCATCGGCTTCAGAGATGACCTGAGAATTGTAAATACACGAACAATATGGTTTATCTTTATGACTGACTATGTCATATGCACTATAGGTAATTAGTCGTTGGTTGGCATCGCTCATGGTAACATGCAATTAAGGTCTTGGTAGGTGTACATTACTCTGCTGTGTGTTGTCTGAAATAACAACTCAATGAGTTGGTGGTTGTGCAACTCATCTCCGGCGGTGCCAAGTGCACCTCGTGGCTTCTTAATGTGGCGCTTCCGTTCTGGCTCGAAATGGACTGTCACTGGACGTTGAACTTGGCACCGCTCGAGAGGGGCCATGACGGTCGGCTGCACGTGGTTTGCCTCTAAAATACCGATGATGATTAGCTGCTGGATTTGTGGAAGGACATTTGGCACTAGGCGACCCTACCGCGGTGACCCTGAATGCTCTGGCATTTGGGGGAGGGGGGGGGGGCGGAATGAGGAGAATGAGGGGGCAGGTCACGGGGTGGTCGTCGGGTGACCGGTGGCAGCTAGCCAATATGCCAAACAGCCTGGAAATCCTTTGGTTCGAGACGAATCGCACCGTCAAGTTTGTCAAACATCAAATATGTCGGGGAAGCGGGGGTAACACCGCCCCCCTAAGCTTTTCGCCAAAAT